TTTGTGTCCTCGTCTTTGCTTTATTCTGTTTTATTTTGTCTTTTGTTTTGTTTTTTACTGGCACGTACCCCCGCCCCTTCCTTTGGCCGTCGACCTGCCTCCATGTAGTGGGAGGCTACCCCCCCAGGCTGGTGGTGCGGCCGTTCCACTAGTCTAATTATTTATTTTATTTTATTTTATTTGTTTCTGATTATATTTTGTTTTCTTGTATTTTATCGCTCTGCTGACCCTTGGGGTCCATTTTATTTTGGTATACCTTTTCTAGGTACGTTAGCCTGTGACCACGGAAATTGGCCGAGTCAAGTGATGGATTAGTACGGAGAGATTGAGACAGAAGGAGGTACTGGATAGAGAGACCGGGATGGTTTTTAATGTGAAGACAACAACAACAACAACATACGGTTTAATGTGAAGTCAACAACAACAACAACAACATAGCGCGCAGAGGGAGTGGAGGACTCCAGAATATCTGTTGTCCTTACTGTTTCCTTTTTTCTTCTCTCTTTTTTCTCTTTTTCTCTCTTTTTCTGTGCCAGATGGCCTTGTTTCTTGCGTTGTGAAGTACCAAGATTGAACCAAGGGGGTGTACCTCATTCTCTCCGGCCCGTGATGGTGACCCCTAGTCTCAGTTGTTACCTCGCATGGCGCGCAGAGGGAGTGGAGGACTCCAGAATATCTGCCGTTGATTTCTATTGACTTGCGGACCCCTCGGGGCCATTTTATTTGAGTGTACCCTTTTTTCAGGGTTCGTTAGCCTGCGACCACGGGAATCGACCGCGTCGAGTGTTGTTGTATCAGTAGGGACATACGAAGGTACTGGGTAGTAGGGAGAGATCGGAACGGATTTTAATGTGAAGACAACAACAGCAACAAACAATAATACTGCTGTAACGCTCTCCCTTCTTCCCCTTGCTCCTCGACAAGCTTTTTTTGCTTAGACATGGATGGGTTGTAGCGAAGGGGGGGGTCTTTCTGGCGAGCAGGGCTAGACTCACCCTCAAGGGATGACCGAAACCTTCTTGCTGCTGCGCATATCCGCCGCGAGGCATGCGCGTGGTGGTGTAGTTGGGTCGGCACTGATGGGGTCAGGC